CAAAAGTTGGGCATATAAGAGGAGGATCTGTGTTGTGTGGATTCGGGTTGAATCTACAGTGGTGTAATGAAGATACCAAAGCTCCAGATGTGGTCACTGGACAGGGTCTGTGAGTGCTGGCCAAGTGATGATGAGGACTCCCAAACTCACCTACCCATTGAGTAGTTGCAGATTTTCTGACTCTTGTCCCAGAAAGAGAATTTTCAGGACACATCAGTAAGAGGCATGAAAGGATTTATGTGGAGAAATTTAAAAGCACACACTCAAAGAGAGTTGCAGGTGTGGGGGTGAGGGGACACTACAGTTTGAAGCTGGGAATATTATGTGTTTGTTGGCAGTGGAAATCTGTGAAATTTGTGAATGTACAGGAAGCTCTGTCTTGGTCTTGGTCTTCAGGAAAAAGGATGGTCCCCACACGGAAAGATAATGCACAATTTTACAGATGAAAGACATGGGCTCAACAAATTCAGAGTGGGTGTGAGCTAAGATGTTTTGCCAAAAGACATTCTTTGAACTACATCAATCTGTCCCTTTATCTTAAGATCAGATTTCTGTTCTTTGTCAGCTGAGCTCATTTATAGACTTAAAGTACCTTTAAGAGATTTGGAGTATGTTGGACCTAGAAGAAAAGAAGCATAAACAAACCCAGGGAATATTGATATAGATCCTGTGTGACTTTTACTGTGTTCTGGAGTTTCAGTCTTCTTAAAAATACAACTGTTTGTGATTTTCTTGTCTCTTTTCTACTTGTTTTCCTCTGTTCTTCCTCAATATTATCTGACAGTTGATCCAGAGTGCACACTATCACTTGCCCCTTGTGTTAGCTCATAGATCTATTATCCATTTTGTATATTAAAATAATTTATTCATACCATAAATATAGACTGAGCTTATAGTATGTGTAAGGTAAAGTTTTTGATGATAATAGAAAAGGTATGAAAGCCCAAGTTTTGCCTGGTAAACTAGGAATGGTAAGGAAACGGGGGGTTTTTCTTAAACTTATAAACAGAAAAGAAATATGTAGGCTGAGCCCAGCTAACTCAGTACACTGGAAAGTGGCTGGATTTCCTATTCAGTCTATGCCAAGTGGGGGACTGCTATTGTCTAGAACGAAGGTCCCTAGGAGATGTGGAGCCCAGACTAACTGTTTTCAACTATCTTACTGATTATTTGGATCAAGATTTGATAATCATACTTACTTTTGCAAGGGTGAGAGAAATATGAAACCAGTATCCACAGTGGTTTTTACTGTCTAGACAAAAGAACCAAGGCTGGGTGCAATTTAGGAAAGTTAAACATCATTGAATTTGAGGAAAAGCACACTGGTTTAAGCACACAAATGGGACGACGTGGTACTCAGTTTTATTAGGTGAAACAAGCATGCTGAAAGTAGTGATTCAGTTCACATGCATTAGACCACACTATCTGTAATGGTCTTTAATGGCTGTATAGATCATGTTCAACAGAAGACATCCACCCCAGAGAAAGGAAAAACTCAGAAGTTCAGAAATTGAAGGCATGAAGCTATAACACCCAGAGAGAGGCCATGAGAATAATTACTTTATACAAAAGTATAGAATTATTTGGAGCTCTCCCTTATTAAATGGACAGGAAATGGGCCAGGTCAAGATGATAATATATTACAAAATATTTGAATCAACCCTAGCGCCAGGATATTATTTTAAACGTCTTCTTGGAGTTAACCAGAAACTGAGAAAGTCAGAGCAGCTCTCAGAAAAGGGTGTGTCCACTTTACCCTTGGTTTTCTTATCAAGTCCACCTCATCACTTGGAAGATGTGTTGTACATTGCTGTCAAATTTAATTTTGAAGGAAATATCCTTTAAAACATATCTTGAATCTTGAAATTCTATAATTTTGTTACCTGAGAATTCAAAGGGCTACAGTCAAGGACTCAGATGTTTTCAATGCCATGGGTGTGGCTCCCCATGCTTGAGTTCATTGTGCAGGCAGCTCACACACTGTGTCAGAGCAGACTCAGGGTCCTGCCAGCTCGGGGAGACAGGACCTCAGGGCCTTCCACACAGCAGGCGTGTGTGTCCTGGAGCTATTACAAACCAGGACGGCGGAGAAAGCAGGTATTTCCAAAGGATGGAATATTTTGTCAGGAAAAAACAATGATGCTTTGCTAAAAAGAAAATCAAAGTTGAAGATTTGGTGAAATTTAGAACCATCCTTCTGTTTTGACAGAGTTTCTGTAGATCTGAGACTTCCTATTGAGTCACCAATTCAGCGACAATGTAACTGTTTCCACTTACAGGGTCATCATTTCTAAACCATGACTGTTTAGATTCTCTCCGTTACCTGATCTATATCATCTTTACTTCTCAGCAGTGCACTCTTAAAGATCATATTGCTCATTGGATACTGTATTGTATGGGCATACTGTGAGATTAAAAAATTAATCCATGTCCCTCTTTTGCAGCAATCTTTTCTCTCAGAAAATATGCAAAAGAAAGCAAACAATATATGACTCATTTATGAGAGCTCTCTGTTTTCACTGAAGATGCCTGGTTAGGCTTTGGGATTAGTGCTTCTCGTCTATTATTCCCATATTCTCTGAGTCACCAAGGTTTCTTCATGTTGGCAGCAGAGACCAATCCTCGTGGTAGTCCACGTGGCTAGGAAGGAATGTAACTCTAGAAGTTGTACTAGAAGTGGAAATACTACCCTTCCACCCAGGGATTCAGCCTCAGCCCTGGGCCCTGTGCTTTGCAAACCTTCCTCATCATGATGTGCAAGTAGATTTCTTGAGATCTCATTTAAATACACTGTGTGATTCAGTAGATCCAGGGTAGGGCCTGAGAACTGCCATCTCTAGAAAGGTCTTAAGTGGTGGTTGTACTGATGCCCTGGTCTGTATTCTCTACTTTAGGGACCATTCATTCTCATTCTCTGTCTCTGAACTGCTAAGCTCCCACTGTGTCACCTTCAAACAGAACCTTCTCTGCAGGATGAGCAGTCCACTCGAACCAGGGAACCTGAACCAACCCAGAGCTTGTGTCCTTACTGCTAAGCAAAAGACCCTAGAATTCCCTGATCAGAACCCTCCAATCCCACTCCCAGAACTGTGTACCTGTCCCCTTCTGTTTGAAGACCCTCTCACCATCATGTGCACACCTGGATTAAGGTCCAACGAAGGGGCAGCTATTGGAGGGTGTCTAGCTGTATGGGCTGGGTGGATACAGGGAGGGGCCCGTGCAAACCCTACTGGTACAGTTGGAGACCTGAGTGGCAGTACAGAAGGAATGGGCTATGGGCAGAGAACCTTCATTTACCTTCTTAAGGCAATGCTTCTTAAGGCAATGGGTGATCTTGTCCTTCTACTGGGTATCCATGTAAAAGACAGGGAGAAATTCCATTCTGCTACAGTTCATCCTTAATTATAAGCCACAGAACCATGGTTCTTGTGTGGTTCTCTTTCAGGAGGAACCACTGTGTCTACAGTGCTCTTCCTAGGATAAAGGAAGCATGGTTTCTTCCCTCTGTTTATCTTTATCTTTCTACATACTTCCTACATGGCCACACGATGCCGCAACAGGGAATTTGCTTTGAGCGTCCCGTGGATTTCAGCTGAACTCTTCCTGTGAGTTCCTTTGTGAGTCTGAGCAAGGCTGCTACTCTCTTTGCTTTCAGTTTCTTTGCCATTAAAGGGGATAAAATCAGAATGGTTTCTGACTGTCTTCTACCTGCTTCCTATTATTACTCAATTGAATTGTCTTCTTCCTTTAGCCCAAATACCACCTTCTTAGATGATATAAGGTACCTTCATCTAATCAGAAAATATTTTTTCTCACTCATTGGTCATTTTGTATTTTATTTTTCTGATGAAAGTCACAGCGCACTGCATCCCTCTCCTTCTGGCACCTAATAGCTGTGTAATTGATAAAGGAATGTGTATCTGGACTTAGTGACATGTCACTGTAATCCCAGAACCCTGGGAGGCTGAGGCAGGAGGGTTGAAATCTTGAGCCCAGTTTGGAGAATGTAGTGAGTTAATGAGACCCTGACTCCAAATAAATAAAAATTAAAGGGGTGTCTGTGAATGTAGCTCACCGCAAAGGCCCTAAGTTCAATACCTAGTATTATTACAAACAAAAACAAACAAACCCAAAGTATAAGTGGCTAATGACTAGGTAGTGATTAAGAAGCAACATTATATTTTTCCCATGCAAGTTATTCCATAAATAGGCATTTTATCTTGTTTCCTCACTCTCGATACATGGGGGGAAATGGGGTGAATTGGGGATAATTAAAATTTGAACTGTCCAACTCAAGAAAAAAAATGTAGTACGATAAGGGAAGGCCGGCACAACTGGAAACAAGAGACACATTTTTAGACGCTTAAGAAAAAAAACACTCACAGCTTAAAACAAAGCAGAGTGAATACAAGAAAAAGTTGTATGTCCCAGTTTTTTTTCCCCTCCCTACCTGTCGTACCCAAACCCCAAACCCGGCTTCACCTTGGAAGGCCACTGGGCAGAGCGATTCCTTTCCCCATCCTGATCCTTCGGGGGCAGGCGTCACCAGGAGCCCCGTCTCCTCTCCAACTTGCAGCATTCCTTGAATGGCCCCTTTAGCATCAGCCAGCTCAAATATTCTCTTGTCAGTACTTCTGGGGCCTCTACTTGAAGAAAGAAAGAAACGATTTTTCTCAAATCTGCGAACCTGACTTTTTTTTTTAATGTCAAAATAAACCATCTGCTTGTACAACTGTTTCTAATTACTTTCCCGCCTCGCCTCTCCACTCCGGGCTGGGCACCAGCACCGCCCAGAGTGCTGCCGCCCGCTGCCCCAGCCTCG